CTTTATGCTTCTCTACTATACTTTGAATCTCATCTTCCCCTCCATTATTCGATATCATTGGTATTAATTTTCTTTTCAAGATATTCGGTTGCCACATTCCCTCTTTTTGACTTTCACCTTCTGAAGTCTGGAAGACTTCAGATTTCACAGAAATTCCCTCATTTCCTTCCACTCTCACATAAGAATCTGCTGCCATATCATACTTGTACACAGTTTTTAGAGATTTTTCTTCTTCCTCTTCTTCATCTACCAGGAGCGCAGGGTCTTCAGGATCAAATTCCTCAATAGATTCTTCATCTTCTCCTTCTGCCACTTCCTCGAATATCCCTCCTCCTACTTGTATCATCTCTTTCTCCACGGTGTCTTTATCTTCTTCTTCTTCTTTTTCCTTCTCTATTTCCTTCTCAATTTCAAAGTCCTGTCTCATTTTTGATTCGTTCAATGAAAAAATGGCACAGATTTTGGGAACTGAATCATCTATTTGATTTTCAGGAATTATTTGGTTAACATGCTCTGTTGATAATGAAGATGGATTTTGTTGAATTGCGGAAGGTAATTGATATTCTGGCTTTATTTCTGGAAAGAAGAAAAAATTTTCCTTATTTTCACAATATGTCATCACATTTTTATCTTTTTTTCTTTTGTTAAATAAGCGTTGCAATTTACTATTATATATTTCAGAAGATGAGATTTTCAAGTTATAAAAAATTTTAACTCCTTTACGATACAAATGATATATTGAAAAATACTTTTGGTAATTATGGCTTTCTTTGAATTATAAATTCTTTGATCGATTTTCCTAACAGTATGGTATATCTAAGCAATTTTTAGAAAAAATGAAAAATTAAAATAATTTCTAAGAATAAATTTTTGAAAAGCTTTAAAGCTGTCGATGGATAACAAATTCTTCAAATAATTTTAAATAGACATTACTTACAAGTTTTTATTTAAAATCTTGTTATAGCAAAATCTAAATAAAAATCATAAGATAGATAATATTATTTTAAAGAACAATCTATATGTAACATACAATTATTCACTATAAATTGAAATATGTTAAAAAGAGACAAAAAATGCAAAGAAGAATACCTGAATAGGATAGTTGCTTATCCTCTTTTACTATTAAAGAATCATCGATCGATGTTACCTTCTTCGTAGCATTATCAGTCGTGAGATTAACATGGATAGATTTTAGTTTTATCTCAGCTTTTTTTATCTGCATGAAAAATTTATAACTCATTCTAAGGTCACAGATACAGTCCATGCACATCTGTGTGGACAGACTACTATCATAAGGATTAACTTCGAGATGCTTGATTTGCTGACTCAATCTCAATTTGATACCCTTTTCACTAAAGATGTCCACCTACAACATGAATTAGTCATCAAAAGTAGCTACAGTTCTATAACCAATATAATATCCAAATGTAAATAATAATCATAATATACAATATTTATACCAAAGGCAATTTTAGGCCAGCACAGGTACGACAATATTTTCTTAATTCTTGCCGTGTCCTTTCAAGAACGGATGTATCATTTTGCTGTGACTTGCTGTTACTTAAAGACGAAATCCTTGTCAACTCATTTAAACTCTCGGTATCCTGTAAACGAACACGAGGCGCAATCTTCTTCAGCTCATCTATGTCTCGAATTTGACCTACAATAGACCCTGTCTGAGATATTTTGCTAATGGTGGTACCAGTACCATTGTTGGCATGTTGAGGTTTCGATTCACTGTAGTTGTGATCACGTTTGTTGATTTCAAGATTTGACATTTTCTCCTTTTTTTTCCTTCCTCACTTATACTAGAATCACTTATACTTGCTCTTCAGCACGTGATAAATTTTAACTCGATATTTCTTATTTTTGTAAGATAGATTATATAAAATGTATATCTTCATTTATTCCTGGAATATTTTTAATACAAAATTTTAAGAAATAAAATGTAATAAAAATAAAAAATATCTTATATTTATTAAAATCTTTATAACACAAAATAAAATACCTTAATCATTGAAGAATTGAGTGCTGATCATAATATTGCTGAACATTCTGTAGTTTTTGCTTATTATGTAGTTTCTGCTACATAATCACCTTTCCCTTTGCATTTATATTATAACTTTGAAACAATCGAGTTTTAATATCGCTCACGCCACAGTGAACGTTTTGTTTTTAAAATCAACTGCTTAAATTTGTGTGCTTTTCTATTGACCACTATACATGCATATATAGGAAACTAGAAAATAGAGATTAAAAAGTTTGTATTTCCCTGGAACTTTTCACAAAATCGCCAGGATATTCTTCGATCAATCGCGGCATCGAATCTCTCTCTCTCTCTCTCTCTCTCTCTCTCTCTCTCTCTCTCTCCCTTCCTCTCTCTTTGTGTTCTTTCCTTCCTTCTCTTTCTTTACTATAAAAAAATATATATACATCAAAATAGTTGTATTTTAAAATTCTGCATTTAATTCATATCGAGCAATATTATCAGTCGAAAGTGTGTGTGTATATGTGTTTGTGTATTACGACTATTAATTCCGAAATCAATTCGGTGTCCCATAAAAAACTTGATTCTAAACCGAATCAAACCAAGAACCGTATTCAGGATAGATAGAGACTCTATTATAACGCAGGATAAGTTTGAACCTTGAAGTTACCGAAAACAGAGACGTACTTTCAAAAACCGTCGTACCTCAATACAATACCAACGATAATGATCCCGTCTCCGACGAGAGGAAACTCTAAATTCGCAGTATACTCTGGTATATTCGATATTTGGCCGTGAGTGCCAGATGGCGCGTGCAAATGGCGGCTTTCCCACGAAAATGCTTGGAAACACCACGAAATAATGCGTCGACGCATTTAACTGAGCGAGCCATCTAGATTAGAGACCTCTAATGGCTCCCATACACTGGGCGCGGCAATGCTTACAGGAAGTTGTTGCAACCAATAATTTCTTTGCTTTTATGGAAAAGTAGTGAATTGATTGGCTACCGTGCCAATTTCTGTCGTGTGGCAAGCGTTGCTGTGTGCATCTATAATAAAACTGACTTTTCAAGCGCAGCAGCAAAATATCAAAACAATAGAAATAGAATATAGAAATATACACAACAGAATATATATTGTAGAGAATTCAATAATTCCGATTGAAATTCATTTTGACTTGTTTCGTGATAGGTTGTAGGATTAAGCCAGCGTTTATAGTCGATTTTTATATTTGAAATTGTCTTAAGTATAATCTTAAGATGTCATAAACCAATCAAAGGACTATACTAGCATCTTAAGACAATATTTAAGATAATGTCTTTAGATAAGGTCTTAAAATAAGAACCGACTATGAATACCAGTAGAATCTTAGAAGTAGAGATTCAGGGTATGTCAACGCGATGCTGCAAACGCTTTGGTCAGTTTGTAAAATTCTTTCTTCTAATTGGTTCATCAAAGGCATTTGTAGCAAGACTTTGACCACAGTCTCAGATTCATGTGCAACAATCTGCGCAGACGCTCGATGCTTGCTTGCAATGGCACTTTAAGCCCGATTTACAATAGATTTTTAAGTTTTAAGCTGTAAAAAATGGACGAATCATAGGGTTCAATAGACAGTATTCAGGTAGTTGATTCTTAGGCATTCACACTTTTACGGAAAAGCAGAAAGCGGAAAAGCAGCAGCCAATCAGAACTTGCGCGTAATCGACAATTTCTGCTTTTTATATGGTCAAAGTCGCGCTACAAATGCTTTGAAGCATTTGATGGACCAATTAGAAGAAAGAATTTTACAAATCTAACTGACCAATTAAAAAACTCTTTAAAGCGTTTGCATTCGCGTATTCTGTAAAGTGCGTTCGGCAATATAAATCTGAGATGCGAGCTAGCTAGCAGATGGCGAGCGTGATCTTCGAGCAATCCGAGTGCCAAGAATTAATTCCGAACGCTACAGAGCTGTAAACTATCCTTTAAGGTTAGATTATAAAATGAAATTGTTTATTTTTATGAATAAGTAAAAATATCCTATTAATTGAAAATTTTTTTCGCTTTATTAAAAACTGATAATGATATTATATACTAAAAATAGATCGTTATACATGAATATAGCAGACTTATATGCAAGGTGTGTTTTCTTAAAAGAAAATACTACATTGCAAAATAAATTTCAGCAATTATATCACTTGATTTGTATTCGTTAAAGTCTTTAATATATTAATACAGTTTGATTAATACAGTTTAATTTCATTCCATATGTGCAACATAAGCTTTGATCTAAAAATTAACTAGCAAATTCTTAGTTTTCAAGTACGTAATTTCAAAATTCATAAAAAGGAAACGAATTAGAAACTTACTTGTTAAATATTGTACATAATGTACTCCATGAATTTCTATTTGATAGCATTTATTTGAGTGTTTGTAGACTCAGACATTATAATAATTCAAATACACTATTTGTAAAATAAAAGTATTAAAAGAGATGAATATATGTTAAAGAATCAGTTGGATTATCATAAATATAAAGATTATGAATTTAATTTAGGCGCGAAAATCTGCATTAGCTCTCGATCTCGGTCTTTGAATCCGTAAATCGAGCAGCTCGATTGGCTTTAGAAATATTAATACCGAACGCAGATGAGATGACATATAGAAAGCGAGTTGCCGAACAATTTTCAAAATAAAAAAGAGCAAACGAATTGTAATCCTCCGATTGTAATGCTGAACGCATCTATACTACTTGAAGTATAGATTCGGGAAGATGCTATTAGCGCTATTTGTGTTATTCTATCCTTGTGTTAAATGTCTAAATAAACAATGAAGATAGAATAAGAAGTAGCGCTAATAATATCTCCCCAAATACATTGCTACTTAGTACCAACACGAGTTCTGATTGGCCACTGCTTTTTCGCTTTCTGCTTTTCCGTCAAAGTGTGAACACGCCCTAAAACTTGAGTAAGCTTGAAATTTTTTCCTGTTAAATGAACAGATGAACTAGAACCTAACCTTGCCTATGAGATGAATGATTTTGAAGTAATTTGAAATGATTACAAGTAATTCGCAATAGTTTATTTATTGAGGTGATATAGTAATAGATTTACTTACATCTATAATGATAGATTTACTTGGTTAAGAAAGATTAAAATTTTTGAAGAGTTGAAATCCGTAATATGTCGAATGAATTTGTGCATTCTGTTACGGTTCCGCGTATCTATAAAATCACGGCCGATATTGTTCGCCGCGTGCGAGAAGATGGTGCTAGCCTAAAAACATTGATTTACGAAAAAAAGCATCCTGTAAGTGTATAATCGTAAGAAGAATATAAGATCAATTGGAAAAGATCTGATCTTCCGTTAATTATGTTGCTTATAATTACGTTATAAGAATAATTTATCATGTACGATTCAGAATGTGGCCGGCATATACGGTCTCGCGGTCAACACCTTACAAGCGTTACCTCAGTTAGATCAGCTGTTTGACAAGACCCAAATTCTAACGGAACAACCGCGTCTGAATCCCTGGTTAGCCAGAGTTCTCATAACGGAGCTTTTATGGCGCAAAAGATGCTTGAAGAATCGCTCCAAGCCAGTCCTAACTGTTCTAGCTTATGAAAACAAACTACGGGAAGAATCAATAAACCTCGGCTACATAGAAACTTTCGTCGATCATAAAGATAAAGGTAATTATTATCTCTAATAATCACCGCATGCTTGCATTTTTGCAGAATTTCGATCTCCGGAAACTCATCCTAGCGCAGTAAAGACACTTTCCTTCATGGTTCTGATTATTCGCAACTGCAGAATATTATCCAGTCGACAGAACAAACAAGTTAAAATTGGAGATCTACAAGATTATCAAAGCAGACCCTGTCATCAAGAATCGATTTGCAACAAAAAAAATAATTGTGCAATGGGTCCAGCAGCAGTACTGGGAACATTGTTCCTCTATAGCATTGCCATGTTCACTTTGCCGTTTGCTGCTTTCTTTATAATACAACGTTTTATGATATTAGAATTCCAAACTGATACTGCCGTGACTAATTACATTTCTGTATTGGCTGCTGTAATCACAGTGAACTTGATTATTTCTTGTTATGTTTATCAAGCTTTAAATGAGTCTGTTGAAGAGAAGGAACAAAGTGAAGACGAAATTAGAATAGAAACTAAAGAGAATTTAAATAAGAAATATGATTAAAATAGTTTTCTTTCTAAAAAAAAAAGAATTGTAAAAAAAAATTGTAAAATGTCAAATATTTTTTATATTATTTAATTAAAAAACGAGCACTCTTTGATATTTAATTAAAGGATATATATGTAATTGATATGGCTATATGCATAATGGAGAAAGAAAAAGTTTACTAAAAGAAATGTAAATATATAATGTATATAAATAAAAACTATATATATAATGATGAATAATCTTTATTGTAATAAAGTAGCAACAAATAGTACTTTATTTTTAAAACATTGTAAATTAACCTATAAATCCCTTTCAAAAGATGATATCTTAAATCTGCTATATATTCTACATGAGAAATAAGAAACTCTTTTGTCACTATTCCATAAAGTCTCGCTTATTTAAATATTACTTTAAATTTGTGTACTTTTGCTTGGAACACTGCGTTATTTTTAGTTTTAAATGCTGAAAATTATTGAAATGCATTTAGACTTTGTGCAAACAGACTTTATATGATATAAAAATATAAAAAGTTAAATAAAATATTTTAAGTGCACGATTAATATCAAATTTAAATTTTAATGTAAATTTGATTTCAATTGATGAAAAAATTTTAATGAAAAAGAAATGCAGGTATATTTACAGATACAGAAAAAAAAGAAAATTTAGCTTAATAAATATATTTTTGCTATATTAAAAAATTAAACTTTCTTTTCATTAAATCAGATTTTTTCTCCTTTTTTCTTTTAGAATTGTATTGCATATCTTATCGTGTGTGTGTGTGTGTGTGTGTGTGTGTGTGTGTGTGTGTACATAAAATAAAAAAAATATATAATATATTTAATTTAATTATATAATGTATTTAATAGATGTATTCTTCAAAATGATTTGATGTTTTTCTTTTCTCTTTTCAGTAAAAAGACCTAGATACGTTCGTATCAATACTCTTCTGTTAACAGTGGAAGAAGCAATCTCCTTTTTTCAACAGGATGGATGGCAATTATTACCCAAAAGTACAACATATTCTTCATATCTACAATCCTTATCGCAATTATCAAAGCCGTATTTTATACAAGATCTACATATACCAGAAATGTTAGCTTTTCCGTCCTCAACAATCTTTCATGACCACAATGGCTATCGCGATGGCAAGCTTATTCTTCAAGATAAGGTATAAATAATAGAATCTTTTCTATCTGTACTGATAATATTTTCTTTGTAACTTGTACGATTATTTTAGTATTATCAAATATTTATTACATAATTAATAGCCTTCTAAAAATGTATATGTGGGGCAGTTTTTATAATTATTTAATATAATTTACATTTATTCAATTTTTATCAAATTTTTTTAGTAGATTAAGTATTATTAATACTAATGTATCTATTATTAACATAACTTATAATTAGCATCATTAAGATTTAATTAAAGATTTGTAAAAAAAAAATACGTTTCATTTTACATTAAAAATCTTATTTCACTTAGGCTAGCAGTTTGCCGGTGCATTTGTTGAATCCTATTAGTGGTTCTACAGTGTTAGACATGTGCGCTGCGCCCGGCATGAAAACTACTCATGTGGCAGCAAAACTGCAAAATAATGGGTACATAATTTGTTTCTCAATCAGATTTATTATTAGATAATATGTGAAAGAAGAAAACCAAGAAATGTATTAATATCTAATATTTATTTTTATTGAGTAATTTTATTGAGTAAACTAATTAAAGTTGAGAAATAGATACTTTAATATTAATATTAATATATAAATTATATAAATTATTATTTTTAAATAGAAAAGTTTATGCCGTGGAGATTGATGCTAAAAGATTTAAAACCTTAATTACTCAATTAGAAAAAACTCATGCCCTCTGTGTGGAGCCTCTTAATCAAGATGTTTTAACTCTCGATCCAAAATTGTATTCATATGTGGAATACATTTTAGTCGATCCAACTTGTTCTGGATCAGGTAAAGATTCACTTTTAATGTAAATTAATAGTGTAATGTAAATTAAACATTATATTAATATAATGTTAAATTTTTTAATTAGTCAAAAAATAGCATAAAGGACAGAATAAGAAAATAGAAAATAATTCTTTTTATGACGCTTTGCATTATTCCTATTCGTGAAACGAGTAATTATTTATTTAATTGTAAATTATCTTCTATAAAATATACCGTCATAATTTTTATTTGTACTTTGTATTTTATATGTACAATTTACGAAATAATTCTACAATTTTCATTAAAGGTATTATCGACAGACCGAAACAGAGCGATATGGATGGAATGCCCGAACTAAAGCGCTTGAAGAATTTACAATCGTTTCAAGTTTATCTTTTGAGATATGCGCTGTTCAATTTTCCAAATGCGAAAAGAATAATCTACAGCACATGTTCTCTACATCCCGAAGAGAATGAGGAAGTAGTAGACGAAGTTCTGGCCAATGTTGGAAACGCTTATCGTTTGCTACCAGTTAGGCAATTGCTCAAAAATAACTGGACAAACTTCAGCTCGAAAAAATACAACTGTGGAGATTTATGTTTGTATTCGAAGCCAAATGATGATTTTTGCAATGGTTTTTTCGTAGCAGTATTTGAGAGAAATTTTGATGTGATTCTGCCAAAATGCAAACTTAAAGGGGGTAACGAATATATGAATCTTATTGAAACTAACTTGAATATTAAGAAAGATGACATGGCGAAAACATTCGCACACCAACAAGAGAAATGTGAAAAGAAGAAAAAGAAGAAAAAGAAGAAGAAAAAGGAAGAGAAGGAAGTAATTTCAATGAATAATGAACAAATGAAGATATCGGCAGATATTGTTGAATTTAAAATACTTGACGTAGATAGCAAAATAAAAGCAAAAAGTAAAAAAGAAGTTGGAAAAATGGATGTTTGTAATGATTCGTTTAATTTTAATTATAAAGTATTGAATAAATCTAAAGATATACAAAAGGAGACATTAGATGTCATGGAAATGAAAAAATCGAGGAAAAAAAGAAAATCGAAGCATGAAAATATACTTCAAGAACTAATTATGACGAAAAAAGAGCAAACTAAGGAAATTGAAATTGAACTGCCAAAGATAAAAAAGAAAAAAGAAAATAAAGAAATCAAGATTGATAAAATGCAGCAAGTGGAAATAGAAAGCGGAAGAAACTGTAATTGGACCATCAAAGAAGAGGAAAAAAAGTAATGAGATTTATTAAATAGAAATAAATATATTGTTAAATAAGACATATATTTTTTTGTATTGTATCATTATTTGCGTTATTCCTTATTCCGTATTTAGTCTGTTTATAAAGTTGCCAATAATAGATGATAATATTATATAGAGATTATTTTTTGCTATGTTAAATTTTCTAAGAGCCTAGAGCTGAAATCTGTGCTTCTTTATTTGAATTTTTGTATCTTAATTTTTTTTTCTTCATCTAAACAATGGTACATTTTTACAAAAGATAACATTTGTTGATTACTGGGCTATCTTGTTAATTGTCAATGATCAATATATCAACTCTTCGCGATTGATAAGTGAAAGAGCGAGTAAATTTTTTTTACCTACTGTAAATATATATTCATTGAATGAGAGAAAATAATAAGGCGAAAGATAGAGAAAAAGAGAGAAAATATAATGAGTTGTATAAAATTCATCCTAAAGAATATTTCTCTAACTAAATATATATATATTATTTATATATA